TGAAGTAGATTTTCTACTATCCAGGTCACTAGCCATATCCACACCTGTATAACCTTCAAGAACTGGGTTTCTTTTTCCAAAGCTCAAGGACTTATTTGCACTGCCTTTTAGGTACCTCAAGATCCATTTCATAGCTTCCCAATGATCCTTCCCAGGATTGGAAAGATACCTGCTAACAATTCCAACCGCGCGAACAATATCTGGTCTAGTGCAGACCATGGCATACATCAAACTCCCGACTGTCGAGGAGTATGGTACACTCGCCATAACTTTTTTTCTTCTTCTTGACTCGTAGGAAAACTTTGTTTGCTGAGTTTGAAGTGATTGTCCAATGGTGTATTGACTGGCTTAGCAGTTTTCATGTTGAATCTCTCCAGAATCGGATTCATATACCGTTCTTGCGATAACCATAACCTTTTAGATTTTTGGTCTCGCATGATCCACATGCCTAAAATTTGTTTCGCAGGGCCCAAATCCTTCATTTCAAAGGACTTTGCTAAATCCTTCTTCAGATCACCAATCAACTTCATATCTTGTCCCACTATCAACATATCATCTACATATAACAAAAGGATAATGAATTTATCACCTGAAAGTTTTTTAACCAACACACAATGATCTGCATCTGTCTTGGTATATCCATGGCCCGCCATAAACGAGTCAAATTTCTTATACCACTATCTTGGAGCTTGTTTTAGTCCATACAAACTCTTCTTCAATTTGCAAACCATGTGCTCCTTTCTAGTCTTCTCAAATCCTTCTGGTTGCTCCATGTAGATTTCTTCATCTAGGTTTCCGTGAAGAAATGCAGTCTTCACATCTAGTTGTTCACGCTCCAGATCAAAGCTAGCCACCAATCCGAGTACTACTCGAATAGAGCTCATCTTTACAACTGGTGAGAAAATCTCATCAAAATCTATTCCTCGCTTTTGTCCAAATCTTTTCACAACTAAGCGAGCCTTGTATTTCAACAGCTTGTCACCATCTTTCTTAAGCTTGAACACCCATCTATTTTTCAAGGCTTTTCTACCTTTCGGAAGCTTCACAAGCTCATAAGTTTTATTTTTCATCAGTGAATCCATTTCTTCTTGCATGGCTTTCATCCACTGATTATCCTTATGAGTTTGTACTTCTTCAAAGTTTTCTGGCTCCCCTTCTTCAGTGATGGTAATATACGTGGAACTAGGGTATCTCGAAGATGGTTGGATCACTCGATTTGATCTCCTGAGCTGAGGCGGAGCTTCTAGGTCTTCTTGCTCGACACCTTCACCATCACCATCACCATCTTCTATTGCTGGCTCATCATCAACCCTGAGTTCTCCATCACACTCTCCTCTTGCTGTAGCATCTCCAGGAGGTTTGACAGGTGAAAGATCCACCTTTCCACTTGATTCTTTCGTTTCGGGTGAAGCAGAATCAGACATAGTTTCTTGCTCATGAAACACTACATCTCTGCTTCTGATAATTTTTCGATTTTCTGGATCCCATAACCTGTAGCCAATTTCCTCATCTCCATAGTCCAAAAATATATAAGGAATAGCTTTATCGTCAAGTTTTCGTCTTTGTTCCTTGCTTACGTGAGCAAAAGCTTTGCATCCAAACACCTTTAAATGAGAGTATTTAACATCATGTCCAGACCATACTCTCTCAGGGATATCAAAGCCCAAAGGAACAGATGGAGATCAGGTTGATCAGGTAGCACGCCGTTAGAACAGCTTCACCCCATAATGGCTTAGGTAGCTTAGCCATTCTTAACATACACCTCACTTTCTCCATAATGGTTCTGTTGATTCTTTCAGCCACACCATTATGTTGTGGGGTTCCAGGTACAGTCTTCTCATGCCTAATGCCATGCTCGGCACAATAATTCTTGAATTCATGGAAAGTATATTCACCCCCATTATCTGAGTGATGACACTTCAAAGGTTTACCAGTCTGTCTCTCCACCATAGCATGAAACCTTTTGAAGTACTGAAAAACTTCGTTCTTCGTTCTCAAGAAATACACCCACAATTTTCTTGAAGCATCATCAATAAATGTCACGAAATATCTGCTACCACCGAGACTCTCTACTTCCATGGGTCCACGTACATCTGAATACACCATCTCCAACACAACTCTTTCAGCTTCGAGGTTTTGCTGAAAGACACTCTATGATGCTTCCCAAAGAGACAATAATCATAAGGATTCAGTTTTGAATCTTTGGCAAATGGGATGAGGGACTTTCTTGCCAAAATTTGCAATCCTTTTTCACCAATATGAGCCAGTCTTTTGTGCCACAAATTTGGCGAAGCATCATCTTTGATTGCATTCAATCCACCCTTCATCAGCGTCACTTGAGTTCTGTACAGTGTCGATCTCACTGTACCTCTAGCATCTAACAATGATCCTTTGGTTAGCCTCCACGTGCCACTGCCAAAGTTGTTAGTATAGCCTGCTAGATCCAATGCATGCACAGATATCAGGTTTAGACGTAAGTCAGGTACATGCTGCACATCCTTTAGTGTTATTGTGCACCCAATATCAGTTTGAATGCACACATCACCAATTCCCACAATATTTGCAACACTGTTGTTGCCCATCTTTACTCTGCTAAAGTCTCCTTCTTTGTATAGAGAAAAGAATTCCTTGTGAGAGGTTGCATGGTATGATGCTGCTGAGTCAATAACTCATTCAACAAATGAATCAGCAACATGACACTCTTCTTCTTCAACAGAGAGCAACACCACTTCCCCATTGCACAGGGGTTGCGGTATTTTCATCGTTCTCTGCCTTGTTGTTTCTCCAACCTCTGTTCTTCCAGGCTTTGCAGTTTCTTTTGATATGCCCTTCTTCACCGCAATGATAACACTTGAATTTTCTCCTGGGTTGAGATTGTGATTTATCTCTGAATTTGTTATTCCGGCCTCTACAATTACTTCTCCCCTGGTTTCTGTGATCAGGGGTTGGGACTACTTGCCCCTGAGTCTTTTTTTCTTGTTTCTTCATTAAACATACTGTCTTTGACTTGGGTCAAAGTCAATTTCCTTCAGGGGCAGAGTTGCTCAGCGAGACCACCAGAGTCTCCCAGCTATCCGGTAAAGAACTCAAAAGTAACAGCGCCTGCAGCTCTTCATCAAGTTTCATTTCCATGGTAACAAGTTGGTTTACCATGTCTTGAAACTCATTCAAGTGTTCTAGAACTGATCTTCCATCCCGGTACTTTAAATTTACAAGCTTTCTAATGACGAAAGCTTTATTCTGTGTAGTATTCCTCTGATACATCTGTTCAATTTTGTTCCACATAGTATGGGCTTTCGACTCTGTGGCAACATGGTGGAATATGCTGATATCCATCCACTGTCGGATTAAACTGACAGCCTTTCTATGTAACTTTTTCCAATCGTCATTCTTCACATCATCTGGCTTGTTGTCTCCCTTTTCTACATGATCATACAGATCTTTGTAGAAAAGTATGTCCTCCATTTTTTGCTTCCAAATAAAGTAATTTGTTGTTGTGAGCTTCACCATGGTACCCACGTTCTCCTCCATTTAATTTACACTAATTGATACAGAGCCCAACTTGAGCTCTGATACCACTTGTTGTGCTCAGATGCGCAAATGCGGAAGGTATAAATTAAAATACTGACGTGAAATAGTGAACAATAATCCCAATTCCAGCAACTCAAGAATGACAAAAGAAATTCTCTTGCAATAAAACATGAATAATTCTTTTCTGATGTGGAAGATCAGATTAAACTGCAACCACAAAGCATACTAAGAATATCCGAAATAAATAAAATATGCAAGAAATAAGTCACCAAGATTTAACGTGGAAAAAACTCCAAATAGAGGAAAAAAACCACGAGACAACCTCCAAACAATTCCACTATATTTTCAAGATAATTACAATATCTTTTCACACTCCCTTACAATAGAAATGTAAAATATAGTGACCCAGTGAGACCCCACTCCTAAACAAGGAATAATAGAGTTGATACCCAACCTAGTGTATTTTTCCCACACTCACAGGATTTACTCAAACACTCTATTTTTATCTCACTGAAAAATAACACTCCAGAAAATTTCCTTTCTGCTCTTTTTCTTCATCGCTTCTTGGTGCATTTCTCTTCTTCCGAATGCTCCTATTTATAGGAGAAAGCACAATGTGAATTCCTGACATTTTCTTGCGGCATCAACTTCTCCTTTCTTTCCTTTTTATTTTTTTATTATATTCTTCATGTGGGCAGCTCACCACAAGTTATTTTTTTTTCTTTTGCTGCCAACTAAAGTTTGGCTGGATTATCATGTGGCTGGCCCCACACGCCCCTGATTGTATTACGTTATATAGGTTGTTAATATTTGTCCCGGTTCGATCCGAACCCATCGGAATCAACTCGTGGTCAACAGGTCCAGACCAGAGCTCCTAATTCGATCGGGTCTGTTCCAAACCTCATGTATTAAATTTTTTGATTCAGTGGGCCGGACCGACCCAAGCTGGAATTGGCCCCTGAGATAGCCTGCCATTTTTTTAATTTTTTTAATTTTATTTTTATGTGGACTGAGCTGGGGCAGCTCTGGAGTCAACGTTTGACTTCATAGCAAATATTGTATAATTGTGACGGTGAATAATCAAGACATTCATAAGAGCTAATTGAAATGATTTCATACAATTTCTTCATAATTATCGGAGGGAATGAGTGCTAATTTTGACAAACAATTACTAACATCACCTACAAAGTCAAACTTCGAATCACCTATTGATTTGCAGAATAATCAAGACATGCTTTAAGTGCCCACTTTTTGGCTTACAAATTTATTTATGGTTTCTCTCATTTTCACTTATGCACCATCTATTTTATATATAGCAAATCACTCCTCAGTTGAAGTTCTCTAACTGAAAAAAAAAAAAAAAAAAATAATGGAAAAGTCACATACTATTAGTTTTTGTTTTATTGTTTTTATGCTTTTATTCCCAATGTTTGAAGGCGAATTATTGGTCAATTGTACAGAAAAGGGAGATGGACAAGAAAGCTGGGGTTACGTTACAGTTCGGCCCAGTAATGTCTCATAACTTGCAATTATCATTTCTGTTTTTTCATTTATTTATTCATTTATTTTTTATTTTTTATTTTTTTTTTGCTTAGCCCAATTATGAGTAATTTAATGAAATATATCACATTCTTTTTTTTTTTTTTTTTTTTTTTTTTTTTTT